TGTGGTGATTATGTTTGTGTCTCTCCTTGGCTGAGCCTGGTTGCGTGGCTGGGCAGCTGATGGTAGTTATTCCCCATGCTGAGACTGGCAATCAATTCCATGATGGGATTTACCACAAGCAGCTGAGTAGCTGCTTTGGGTATGTGATCTGCTTCCTGTATATAAGAAGCAGCTTTGGGAATGGTCTCCAGCTTATGGCATGCTTGGACCCTGCATGTAACCATGTCATTGTTCGGCAGCCTGCCGTGCTCTGCTGACCTTGGGACTTACAATGAACTTGAATTAATGGCCTGCTGTGTGGTTTGGTAACATTGGGACTATGCCATTTTATTTGTTGACCTTGGGCTTGTTAGCCTCAGCAGCCACTAGCTGCCTGAGTGAAGAGATGCCTCTAGCTTCGGTGGGCAGGAAGCAAGAGGCAGAGCTGAAGCCCAAGGTCGAAGGGTTTTCACATAGTCCCTAGAGCCTGGCACTTTGAACTTGGACTTAAAGCCTCCAAAATGTAAGAATAAGCTCCTGTTTGTTAAGGCCATCTCATTTGTGGTATATTCTTGTCAGAGCAGCACTAGGGAACCAGAACACTCTCTGAGCAAGTTTCCCTAACTATAAGATGGAGATGATGGTGATAATCATACAGTGGGGATGTTATCAGAATTAAATGAGATAATATGTGTAAAGTGCTGATCACATAGTACGTACTCAGTGAAGTATTCTCTCTCTCATGCCTCTTCCCTTATTGCTCAGTACACCCACTCCTCACTTATCGACACAATTATATTCCAAAGACCAGGTCATTGTGTGGAAATTGGCTTAATGCAAAAGTGAAGGATCACCACATCACCTCACAAAGTGGAGGATGACTACATAATTACATAACTGCAAAACCACTGAGAATTATGGCCCAGCCAAGTTGACACATCTCCTTAACCATCACAGTCAGTGTTACTCTTGCCTTATACCTTAGCATTTGTTACTGCCAGATACACTTTATTAATGCACAGAATAGCTGGATAGTAGATTTCTTTTACTGTTGATGGACATGTGAAATGTCAGATAGCAAGATAGTAAGTGAGGAGTGAATATCATTGTATGAGCTGATAATAATAGTGCACACTTATGAAAGGAGCTCTGGTAACGTAGTGCCTAAGACACTTGACTGCTAACTAGAAGGCTGGCGGTTCAAACTCACCAGCCGCTCCTCAGAAGGAAGGTTGGGCAATCTACTTCCGTAGTGGTACCGCCTTGGAAACCCAAGGAGGGGCTGCTATGAGTCAGGTCTGACTCGACGGCACATAACAAGAACAACAACAACACTTAATTTACTTTATGCCACTTCACATAGTGGGGAATACTGTGTTATTACCTCCATTTTAGTGATTGGGGAAGCAGAGGCACAGAGAGGTTCAGTGAATTGCTTTCACTCATACAGGTAACAAATAGTATCATTAGGGGAAACCCAACTAGTAAGAAGTGGGTCCAGGATTCATGCACCATTCTACCTATTATTCCCATTTCACAGATGGGAAAACTGAGGTTCAGAGAAGTATATTTGACTTCAGCGTCACGAAACATGACCAACCAGTCAGTGGCAGAGCCAGGTTTCGGAGGGAGTTCATTCACTCTAAACTCCCTGCCCTTCACAGTCTTGCTGATTCTCAGGGGGACCTGTTTTAGGTGCTTCATTCCATTTTAAACATGTTGTGGTTGAGGTGATGGTGAAACTGCTTAGTAGAATGTCTGTTTGGTGATCAGAAATGTGAGACTGGAGTCTGTTTGCTTCACTGATGTGTGCCAAGTACCTAGCATAGTGCCTGGCACATGGAAGACACTCAGTGAGTAATCGCTGGAGGCAAGTGGCCAAACTGGAGATATTATCTGGGGAGTTGATCCTGGGGAATCCATGTCTGAGAGGGTAGCTGAGGGCTGGAGATCTGACAGGCTGCCCTGTGTGACTCTCAGACATCTGTCTGGAAAGGAGCTGCTGCCTTGGAGGCTTTGGTCTTCAGGCATACTGAGAGGCTCAGTTCGTAGAGCAAACGCTTTGCGTATGACAGACTTGGGTTCAGATTCCTGCTTGGCCAGCATACTGGGTGCTTGACCTCAGACAAGTTATTTAAACCTGTCTTTGTCTTTTTTTCAATTGAAGTATAATGTGCTTAGGTCCCTGGGTGGCACAAATGGTTTATCCTCAACTGCTAACCTAAAGGTTGGCGGTTTGAACCCACCCAGTGGCACCGTGGAAGAAAGGCCTTGAGATCTGCTTCTGCAAAGATCACAGCCAAGAAAACCCTATGGTGCAGTTCTACTCTGTAACACATGGGGGCGCCATGAGTCAGGATCTACCAGACGGCAGGCAGCAGGGTTCTTTTGGATTTTCTTTAATCATGTGCTTCCCCAGAGTGTACAAGGCATAAGTGTTCTGTTTCATGAATGGCCACAAACTGAATATACATGTAATCAGTGCCCAGATCAAGAAACAGTACATGACTCGTGTCCCAGGAGCCCTGTCTGTGCCCCTTTCCTATCACTGTCACCCCTCCTCGGGTAGCTGTGGTGCTGACTCCTAACCATAGGTTAATTTTCCCTGTTCTTCACTTTACCCAGTGGTGGTTTTTTTTATTATTGTTTTTATTGTTTTGTTCTTGTTTTTAACTTTTTATTGTGATTTGGGTGAAAGTTTGCAGAGCAAATTGGTTTTCCAGTTAATAGTTCATACCCATTTTGTTGATCCAGTGTTTTTGAGATCCATTCATATTGTTGTGTGTAGTTGAGGGTCATTCATTCTCATTGCTATAGAATTCCATTGTGTGAATATAGACCTGATGCTGGTAAGTCGATTCTGACTCAAAGCGACCCTATAGGTCAGAATTAATTGCCCCTTGGTTTCCAAGGGTGTAATCTTCACAGACGCAAACTGACACGTTTTCCCCTGCCTAGTGGGTCGTAGGTTTGAACTGCTGACCTTGGTGGCTGAGAGCCGTTATCAGTGGGCATTTGGATAGTTGCAGATTTCGGCTTTTAGGAGAATTGCTGTGACATTCTGGTACAGCACACATCTTCTGGTTCACATCCTGTCCCGCGTGTTTGTGCTGGGTAGATCCCTGAGAGTGGAATTGCTGGGTAGAATGTGCTCAGCTTTGGTAGTTATTACCAGATAGCTTTCCCGTGGTCATATGAGAGTTTTTTACATTTTTATATTTTCATCAACACTTGGGTTCCCCTCACACACTCTTTTCTTGTTTCTATTTCATGTTAGCCATTCTGGCGCTTGGGTAGTGGTAGCCTGTTATAGTTTTATTTGCATTTCCTGATGAAGTTGGGTTCCTCTTCCTGTGCTTGTTTGCCGTTTGGATATTCTCTTTTGTCCTTTTTCTATTCAGATGTCTGCCTTTTTCTTACTGAGTTATAGGAACTCTTTATATATTCTGGATACAGGTCCTTTGTCAGATAAACGTACCATAAATATCTTCTCCTCTGAAGGTCACACTTTTTTCTTTCTATGATATCTTTAGATGAACAGAAGTTCTTAATTTGGATAAGATCCAGTTTATCAAATTGTTCGTTTATGATTAACTCCTTTGTGCTTTCAAAAGAAAACTTTGTCCATTCCAAAGTCACAGAGACATTCTCCTGTTTTTCTTATCCAAAACTTTATAACTTTCTCCTTTAGAGCTACCACCCTTCTGGAATTAAATATTGTGTTTGGTGTGAGGTAGGGGTACAGATGTACTTCTCTCATACATATACCTGGTGGACCAGCACCACTTATCATGAAAAGACCATCCTCCTTTCTTCATTGTTGCCTTTGTCATGAACCACATGATCTTATACACGTGGATCTGTTTCTGTATCCTCTTACTGATTCTGTTGGTCATTGTTTCTACCCTTGCACCAAAACCATGCTGTCTTAAGTACTGTAGCTTTATCATAGGTCTTAATATCTGGTAGTTAAGTCTTCCGCCTTAATCTCTTTGTCAAGAGTACCTTGGCTATTCTTGGCCCTCTGTATTTCCATGTGGATTTTAGAATAAGTTTGTCAGTTCCAAGAGAACTTATTGGGAATTTTGATCAGGACTGTGTTAAAGCTACAGATGAATTTAGAAAGAATAAATCTCTTTACAATATTAAGGGGAGTTAGTACGATGCATTTCTATACGTTCATTATCTAGATTCAGCAGTAGTTGATCGTGTGACTTGTTTTATACACACACACACACACGTGTTTTGTTTGTTTGATCTTATTAAACTATATCATAGTAAATTATAGGCATCATAGACACTTTTCCCATAAACACTTCAACATGTATCTTGAAAATCTAAAGATAGTTTCTTACATAGCCACAATTCCATTATCACACCTTGGAAAATTAATAATTCCCTAATTTCTAGTCTGTTGTCATATTTCTCCAGTTGCCATCCAAATATCTTTTGTTGCTTGTTTTGTTTTTCTTTTCCCCAAAAACAGTTCAATCATGGGTCATGCGTTACGTTTGCTTGTTTTAGTGTCACAATCTCTTAATTTAGAATGATTTCCCCTCTTTTATTGTAAGTGACATTGACTTTGTGTAGCAATCAGGTCAGTGGTCTTGTAAGTGTCCCACATTCTAGATTTATCTAATTATCCTTTCATGATGTCATTGACTTTGTTCCTCCACCCCCTGAATCTCTTGTAAACTGGAACTGGGATCTAGATTTGATTCTGATAAACCTTACTAAACCTCGCTGAGGTTTCCTTTGCTAGCCCTTCTCAGGGTGAGTTGTGTCAAGAGCAGCAGGTAAGAGGGCAGGTACGTAACGCTCTAGCACAGTGCCTGGCACACAGCAAATGCTCGGTATGTGGTAGCTGCTCTTACTGTTCACCCTGCCTTAGGCCAAGCATCTTACCCCAGTGTTTGTTCCCAGGAAATAGTTTCCCTAAGGCTTCTCCTGTCCCCGCAGCTGGGGCTCCTGGCTTCATGCTGCCTTGAGCTTCCCCCATCTTTCTCTCCTCCCACCCTCAGACAGCACAGGCAGTTCCACGTACCGACCACCCCCTCGGACCCGGGAAGTGATGATCAACGGGCAGATGGTGAAGCTGAAGTACTGTTTCACCTGCAAGATGTTTCGGCCACCTCGGACCTCACATTGTAGTGTCTGTGACAACTGTGTGGGTGAGTGGGAGCCAGCAAGTAGGGATGCAATGCAGGGATCTCTGAGAGAGACCCAAACCTGACGATGAGGGTGGGAAGGGGGAAATGGTTTGAAATATCCAGGGCTGGGCAAGAAGTCTGGTTTCCCTAGATTTGCTGCTCTGGCTGAAGGAAGGTTTGTGGTGAAGGGATCTGCATATGGCCAGAGGTGTCCTGGTTTCAGTCCAGGGCTGGTGGATTCCTTTTCCCCAGCTCTGATGTGTAGGATCAATACAGAGAGGCTCTGAACCCCTTCTCCCAGGCTTTAGCCTGGTCCCCACTATGTCATTGTTTCCAGGAACCAAAGGCTGGAACTGTAACATTCCAGATGTGTTTGTGCTGAGAAGAGAATGCTTTACCATCCAGTGGCCCAGGGCTGGTTATACTGAAGGATTTTGATCAGATTCCTAGGGTTTGGGAGGGATAAGAATCTGGGAACTGAGTAGTTTAAGTTGAAGAGGTAGAGAGAATGTAACCAGGGTTGGGATCTAGGCTTCTGTCCCACAACTGTGATGGTTGCTGGGAAACCAGAGTCTGTTTGGTCCCCTCTCCCCACTCCCCAGAGGCCACGTGACTCTGATGGGGACTGAGGGTGGGCCCTGGGGAGGGTGTCGTAAGAGCAATGCTGTGTTTGAGGACAGGTGAGGGGAGCTGCGGTTGACTGCAGAGTTCCCAGGGTAGTGAGCTTACGATGCCAGCTCAGCACTGCCTGAGCAAGAAAACAGTAGAAAACACCCCATGACGGCAGGCCATGTAGTGGGTGACTCAGTGGACGTCATTCAACCCCAAGAATTTGCCCCACCCACTCTCTGTAAAGGGCGTTAGCCCTGGCAAGAAGCCTGCAACGGGCTTGTGACCCACATTCCCACAGGGGACTTTTCTCACCAGTCTGGGTGTGACCCCCACCCCCAGGGACATAGCACTGCCATGAGCTCAACCCTCTGACCTGGAGTTACATAGCGGTCTGGCCAGCCCTTCCCTGGGAGGGGAGCCAGAGATGGGCCATTGGATGTATGTAGCCAAGGTAATGGGTCAGGCAACATGTACTTTTTATGGGTCTTTTCTGTGCTAGGGGAGCTCTGGTGGCATAGTGGTTAAAGTATTTCAGCTGCCAACCAAAAGATCAGTGGTTTGAACCCAGCAGCCACTCCATGGGAGAAAGATGAAGCAGTCTTCTTCCATAAAGATTTACAATCTTGGAAACCCTATGGGGCAGTTCTACTCCATGCTGTAGGATCACTATGAGTCGGCAGTGATGGGTGTGGTGGGTCTCTGTACCAGGCACTGTGCTGGGCCCTGGATCTTCAGCATAGTACGAGGCCAACACAACCCTTACCCCATGGAGCTTACAATCAAACGGGTTAATTGGCCATCTCATCAATGATAAATAAATGTGTCAACACCCATGGGCAAGGTGCTGCCAGAGAAGTGCTAGGCAGCAGGGTCAGATGACAGGGGCCCCCACTTAGCCTAGGGTCAGAGAGGTTTTTTTTTTACTATTGAGTTTTTTTTAAATTATTTTTATTTTTATTTTTTAATTGTGATTTAGGTGAAAGTTTACAGAGCAAATTCACTTTCCATACAGCAGTTCACATACACCTTGTCTCATGACATTGACTACAATTTACCACAATCAACAGCTCTCTTCCCACTTCCTCCCGATAGTTACCTCTTCCCTGTGTCCATCCCTCCATGCACTCCTGCCCCCTGAGCTGTCTCCCTGTGCATAAGCAGCCCTTATTTCTCCCATGATTGTTCTCTCCAAGGAGCATATCTACCTCAGGTAAATGTTCAACTCATATGCCTGTCTTTTGGCTGGAAGGCACAGGTGTGGGTTCAGTTCCAGACCTGAAGGGCAGCTAGGGGCCATAGTCTCAGTGGTTCCACCAGCCTCTATCAGACCAGCAAATCTGGTCCCCTCTTCCCCCCCCCACCCAAATGATTTTGAGTTTTGTTCCACATTGTTCTCCCTCTCTATCAGGGATCTCCTACATAGATCCCCTTCCATGTGGTTGACAGTGGTAGCCGGGCACCATCTAGTTCTTCTGGTCTCATAGTCGTATAGGCTGTGGATCGCATGGTGTACCAGTTGCTCCGACTAATTGTTTCCATGAATCTTTGGTTTTCTTCATTCTTCTTTGCTCTGGATGAGGAGAGACCCATCATTGCATCTAGATGGCTGCTTGCAAACTTTTAAGATCCCAGTCACTACTCGCCAAAGTAGGAGATGGAACAATGTTTTATGTAGTATGTTATGCCAGTTGAGCTTGATGTCCCCTGGGACTATGGTCCTGAGCCCACTGGTTCAACTGCTCGGTCCCTCTGGGTAGGTGGCTGTGACTAAGAAGTGACTACAACCTTGGCCCTTGTCAGCTCTACTATACACCTGGGAATTAGTACAGATCATACAAGTACACTTATAGGACCCAGAGACTTTCTTAAGGAAGTGGCTTTGAAGCTGAGACATGAAGAAGGAATTACTGTTAACCAGGTAAAGAGATGAGAGAAGAGTATGTGAGGCAGTGTACAGAGGGCCACACGCAGGGTGTGTCCAGGGAACTGAGAGTTGGCTGATGTAGAGAGAGTGAATGGAGTGGGGTGAGGCCTCCAAAACACCTGTGCTGGCTGTGGGGCAGACAGACACTGACATCTCCCCTTGTCCTTTTCCAGAACGGTTTGACCATCACTGCCCCTGGGTGGGCAACTGCGTGGGGAGACGGAACTACCGCTTCTTCTACGCATTTATTCTCTCCCTCTCATTCCTGACGGTCTTCATCTTCGCCTGCGTGGTCACCCACCTGACGTTGCGTGAGTTGGGGCAGGAGGGGAGGAGGAACAGGCCGGCCAGCCCAGCCAGGTCAAGTGGCTATGGTCACCCCACCTTCTGAGCTGTGTCCTTTCCTATTTCTTCCTCCCCAGACTCTCAGAGAAGCAACTTCCTCTCCACTCTGAAGGAGACGCCAGCGAGATATCCTTTGTTGGCTAGCAGACACCCTGGTGGTGGGAACGCAAGACCCCATCACTGTGGCGGGTCCCTACACATCATCTGTCCCACACCTCATTGGTGTAGAACATATGCTGGTCCTAAATGGGGTGTTATGGGGCTGGGGTAGCCGAGAACTCTTAGGAGTCACAGACTCTCTTCAGGGCCTTGGAAGAGAGCACGTCCTTAAGACATCACCAAGCTCCCTAGACCATGTCATGCCCGTGATTCTTGTGTCTTACTTCTCTTTGCCACTTTGGTCTCATCTTTCTTTTGTGGGTGGTTCCCATACCCTCCTTAAGGTTCAGGAGGTAATCCTGTTAAGAAGTGGTGACTGAGCCACAGGGTTACAAATCATTTCCTTTCTGGGGAAATAACGTAGGAGGTCAGGTGAGAAAGGCCAGGCATCGCCAGCTCCCAGGGCCCGGGAGCTCCCTGCCCTCCACCCCAGCTCTGACCTCCGTGTGGGTCCTTGACTGCCCACGCACTGTGCTGGAGTTGGTGATCTGCTTCTTCTCCATCTGGTCCATTCTGGGCCTCTCAGGGTTTCACACTTACCTCGTCGCCTCCAACCTGACAACAAACGAAGATGTGAGTAAGGCTGGAGTGCACTCCTTGCTCCTGGGCAGCATCCTCCGAAGGAGGCAGGGCTGAGGGAGCCTGCAGCTATGCCAGTGCAAGCCTGGCCCAGGGACTGCTGGGAAAACATGGGCAGAGACTTGAGGCAGCCAGGCACCTCCTTCTAGACTCACGACTTCTGGGGTTCCCACATGCCTTATTCTCTCGATGCTGGCACCCAAGGCCCCGAGTTGTTTTTCTCCACAGCCCCATAGGAAGCAGCATGCACACCGTAACAGTCATTACGTTTGGCCAACATGTTACTTTACGGAGTTCTTTCGTTCCCGTCATGTCTTTGGGTCATTTGGCCAACACTGAGGCAGAAGAAACAGGAGTGCTTTTTTCTCATTTGACATATGCGAGACATGCCCCTAGGTCACAGGACTTGGAAGGAGCAGAGCCAGGGTTGAAGCCCAGAGGTCCTGGCCATGTTTTCTGTGCTTATCACCCTACACTTATAGTCAGCAGAGATATGCTTGTCCTCAGGATGTGGCTGGGGCTCCCTGAGGCATCCATATTGAAGGGAGCAGACCCTTCCTATGTATTGTCATGCAGACCTCCACCAAAACATTGTTTGAGCACCCACTGTATGCTCAGACCCTGGGCCGGGCCAGACCTGACCTCTCCTGGCCATCTTCCCAAACAGTAAAAAAGCAAATGAGAGCATCTCTTCTGGGGCCACTATCTGATGCTGATCAGAGACCCACCACCCCTTAGAAAGTAGAGTCTTTGACTTTCACCTCTCATTCTGGGAAATGTAATACGTATGACAGTATGTCACATGCTGGGTGATTGGTACGGAGCAGAAATGGTATCAGCCAGCGTCTCCCAGAGTGGTTTCCTGGATGTTGATTCTATAGGATATTGGGAGTTCACACAAAGGAGTATTGTGGCCAGATAAGTTTAGAGCACTGGATTGGAGTTAAGCTGGTACTTTTTTACTACAGAATTCCTCAGTGTCCGCAGTAGCTGACTGCACAGAGCTGGGGATAGGCAAGATTTCATTTAATGCTCCAACAGGGCTGTTAGAGAGTTGGTATTAGTGTCCCTGCATTTCAAATGAGAATTGAGACTCAAAGTGATGACCCTATCCAGGGTTATATATTCTGAGCCCTGTGCCCTTGGACTGCCCTGGCTCTTAGATGGCTGGCTGGGGGAAGGGGCATTCACCCAAAAGGTTTGCTCTGGAGGCTTCTCTCCGGCTCTGTTCTATCTTCTGACCTAGTTGGGGCTTCCTAATCTCTTCTGGGACCCCCACATCCTGCTGAGTGCCCTGGGTTACAGGCATGTCCCCTCTCATAGTCTAACCAGTTATCCCCAGCCTCTAGACCTCCTACCTAGAAAAGTGAAGTGAAGAGAAGTACCTGAGCCAGGCTTCCTTCCTGCTTGCAGATCAAAGGCTCCTGGTCCAGCAAGAGGGGCGGCGAGGCCTCTGTCAACCCCTACAGCCATAAAAGTATTATCACCAACTGCTGTGCTGTGCTCTGTGGCCCCCTGCCTCCCAGGTAAGCAAGAGGCCACAGTGCCTAGCCTGGCCAGAAGGGAATGGCTCTGTGAGGCCACCCATCTCAGAGAAGGTCTGAGTATCAGCAGACCTCTCCCCATACCATGCACACACTCTGTCAACGAGCTCCTCTGCAGGACATTTGTCAGATAAAAGAGTTTTGTGGAGATTTGTAACTTTTAACCACATATGCTCATTGTTGTTGTTATGTGCTGTCAAGTTGGACCCAACTCATAGCGACCCCTCCTTGGGTTGCCGAGGCAGTATCACTACAGAAGTAGATTGCCCACCATTCCTTCTGAGGAATGGCTGGTGGGTTTGAACTGCCAGTCTTCTGGTTAGCAGTCAAGTGCCTTGGACACTGTGCTACCAGAGCTCTTATGCTCATTATATTGTTGTTGTTAGGTGCTGTCAAGTCAGCCCCGACTCAGTAGCGACCCATCCTTGGGTTTCCGAGGTGGTATCACTACAGAAGTAGGCTTGCCCAACCTTCCTTCCGAGAAGTGGCTGGTGGGTTTGAACCACCAGCCTTCAGGTTAGCAGTCTTAGGCACTATGCTATCAGAGCGCCAATGCTCATTATAGAAAAAGTTAAATACAAAATATAAAAAGGAAGTGGATTAGATATTGCATGTAATCCTACCCGCCAGGGATGACCATAGTTAAAGTTTTGGCCAGGCTTGAGCGATGCTGCCCTTCTGGTGCCTGAACTGGGTGAGGCCACCACCTTCCATTCTGGCAGACAATGCTGGTGGCTCAGCCCAGCTAAGAAGCTCCCTGTTCATCCTGACACCAGGGGGCACCAGAGTGCCAGAACAGCCTTGAACTCACTGCTTGACCAAGACTTGCCCCAAGACCACCCCCTCCAATATCCCTGCCACACATCCTGCCTGTGGGAGGAACACAGTAGAAATTTCACTGTCCACAAATGCCCTTTCTTCCTTGCTTTAGACAGGTGGACCAGTTCAAATTAATTGTGGCCAAAAGCCGAATGACCAAAGGGTAGAGAGAGGCCTTCCAGAAGGGCGGGGTCTTGAGCCCCCAAGTTGAGAGCAGCTCCCTTTCCCTCAGCCTTTCTGGGGCTTTCATTTTCCGTGAATGGGAGATAGATCCTGCCACCCTCTGCCCCCTGGGCTTTTCCCATAGTGACTGGGGTATTGGACAGAACCCTCACGTGTCCCCTGCTTTTTGTTTGGAAGCCTGATCGACCGGAGGGGATTTGTGCAGTCCGACACCGTGCTGCCCTCGCCCATCAGAAGTGACGAGCCAGCCTGTGGAGCCAAGCCCAATGCCAGCATGGTAGGAGGCCATCCTTGAACGGGGCTCAGTACTTGCCACTTGCTGGCCTGTCTGCCCTTCTGTACTCACCTGCTGCCCTGTACACCTGCTGGGACCCTCCTCATTCCATCTGAGGGAGGCAGAGCCGCTAAAGACTCAGATCTTTTCGTATTTATTTCCCACTCCTGTGTGGCTTTTCCCAGACTACTCCATGGCTGTACCCTCTTCTGCCCAAACCCAGATCCCCATGGCCTTGGGCCCTAGATCCCCAAGCTGATCACTGGCAGGAATGACAAGAGGCCAGAGCCTCTGGAAGCCACCAAGAAGGCCATGCTTAGTTTCTGCCTGTGCCAGGGCGAGCCCTGTGTGAGTGAGGGTGTGAACTGAGCGTGAGGCCACCCAGTGAGAGAGCTCTTGGGGTGAAATGCAGGACTGAGGAGCAGTCAGCTCTGGACAGTGGGCTGGGCTGTGGGAGAGGAAGCCTCCAAGCCTCCACGGGTTACTTTGGTTTGTAGGCTCCTTCATTCTTTTTGTGAAAAAAGAAAAAAAAAATATATTAAGTTGGCCAATAGGATAAAGCTGGGGTTCCAAGTAGAGAGGCTGGAGTTGGGAGTTGGTGGGGAGGGCAGGCAGTCTGTGTCAGAGGAAGCCAAACCAGTTAGCCAGCCAGGCACCCTAAGCCTCAGCTCCTTTACAGTTCTGAGCAGTATGATAGGAAAGGGGTCTTGCCCTACCCTTGCCTGTGGAAGGCTCTCCAAGGGATCCTAGTCTGACCCACCCCACCTCCCTCCCAAGTCAGGTCTGGGGATGAGCGAGTTATCATCATGCTGGCAATACTTGAAACGGGTTTATTAATGCTGGATACTTTGCACAATTTTATAGACCTCTTTTCTACATAAAATTTTTTAAATAGAAGAAAAGAAAAAAAAAAAAGTCACATTATTGTCTATGTAGTGCCAGGCTAAGGACTATCAGAAGACAAGTTTGTTTTAATAAGTGTATTGAGTGAGTGAGTGTGAGTGTGTGTGTGCATCTGTGTGTGCCCTTGCACGAATGTGGCTGGCTCCCACTTCCCTGCATCCTCTGGGCTATCCCGCCCCCTCTCCATCCCTGCTGGACCCTTTGGGCATCAGGCAGCAGCAGCAGGAGCTGCCAGGGGTAAATGTGCATCGGTCACTAGACTCCTGGGCTCCCCTGGGGCTCAGTCCCCATCCTCCTATTGGACTTCAGACAACCAGCAGTGAGGGACTCTGCCACCACCCTACCACCACCACCACCCAACCCCCAGGTTAGGCTTCCAGCTGAGACCTGCCCAGACAGGCTGAGGCAGGGCATGGTGGGTGAGATGCTGGCTGTATGAGGAGCAGCTGCCATCCTATAAGCCACACATCCTCCCTTCCCAGCTCTGAGGATGAGACCCAGGGCCAGGGGCTGGAGGTCAGGGTGTCTCTGATGATTGGGGGGCCCCCATCCAGAAAAAAAGGAGGAAGGAGTGGGGTGGGCTGAGCCAGTGACAGTTGGTTTAAACCTAGGCTCAAAACTCATAGGATGTCCCTTCTCTGCTGGGAGCTATAGTGTCTTATCAAAGTAGATAGAAAATTGTCCTGTTTCTCCCTCCTTTGCCCTTCAAGGGGGTGAAACTCATGGAAGGTGACATGAGAAGCCCCCAGATCGTGCCCTTTCTTGCTCCAGAGGCTAGTAGGTCGCAGAGCTGGGAAGTGGCAGCCAGAGAGAGATCCCTCTGGGAGAAACCACTTTGCCCCAGCCTCAGTGCCCCGGGCCATCACTGCGGTGGCCCTGGAGGGTGGGGAGGAGGCTGGTTAAGGAGTGTCCCCCCCCACCTGCCTGTTGTTGACACCAGTATTCTCTGTTCTTTGCCTGTAATAAAATTTTGGTTTTTAAGAGTTGATTTGCTTTGGTTTGGTTTTTGTTTGCTTTTCCTTTGCTGAGGCCCCAGCTTGCAACCCTCTATTATTTCAGCCAAACTTGGGTCTCTCCTGGGGAGACAGAGAGGCATGCTGCCCAGCCATCTGGCCAGAGTTCTCCTCACCTACCTGGAGCTCTCTCTGTTGGAGGCAGAGCTGGGCCCCCTTGGGCACGTGAGATGGGGTCATCCTGTCCCCAGTTCATCCCTTCTGCTTTCCTCTGCCTTGGGGGCTTAGAGTAACCCTCCTCTTTCCCTGCTGCCTTTCCCCCTGATTCCTAGCTACTGGCCAGCTACAGAAAACTTTATGAGACAAAGATTGCAGTTTGAGAGCCAGAGACCCCTAGCCCCCTTCACCCTGACCTGGACAGCAGGGCCCATCCAAACAACTCATAACACTGGCCCACCTCTGGTATCTTCCCCAGGAGGACACCTGTCAGGATTTTGCCATCTCCTGCACAGCCTGAGGGGAGCTAACAGGCCTCTTTGCAGAGGGTTAGCTGGTAAGACTGTATCTCCCCTGTTGGCCAGCACTGCCCACTTCCCTCACACACCATCTCACTCTCATCGCATGCCTCACCAACCCCATGGAGCCCACTCATCTGTCTGGTGTGTGGTGTGTGTGTGCTGGCGGCGGTAGGACCCCCGCCTTAAGTAGATGGATTGGGGTGGAGGGGCAAGGCTAAGAGCCTGGCCCCATTCTGGACTGAGGAAGTAGCTTTGCCAAGGGCCACTCTCCAACTGGAGCAGGAGGTGAAGGGTGAGGCTGGGGTACCTGCTCTGAGGTGCTTGGCCCTGTTCTGGTGGTGTCCTGGTGTTTAGGGGCTGTCAGTCACTAACACTACTGTGTCCTCACTTTCTGTTGCTGCTGAGCTTTCTCTCCCCTGCCCGTTTTCTCTCCTGCTTCGTTGCCTGCTGCCCCAGCCCTGGCTCTTCTCTGGCAAAGAGGCAGGTACTGTGGCAGTACCTGTCCCCGCTGGCCACAGGAGCCCCTGCAGGCCTCTCGCCACTCAATCCCGCTAACCCTCTCTCTTCTTCTCCTTTGCTGTCCTACCGGGGATCTCCAGTATGTGCGGAGGCTTAAGGACCTCCTGAGGACCACTGCTCTCTGCCTCTCCAGGAGCGGCCTGGGGGGAGCCAGGCACCCGGCACCTCCACCTGCCTGACCTGTGGCCTGTCTGCCACCATCTGTGCCTACATGTGTGCTCTCTAGGGCCCCTTCCATAGGGGGCAGGGGCTGGCCTTTTTGCCCCCATCCCCACTCCATGCTGGCCAGAGTGTAGAAAGCCATAACGCAGCTGTCAGCACAAAACTGTAATACTTTGCTGAGACTCTCCCTTCCCACCTCCCCCTGACACCCCCCACCCCAGATATGAAAGGTGTCAAGACTCTAGGAATCTTGCCTTACAGCCTACCCCCCCCCCAAAAAAAAAAAAAAAAAAGGCCTAGCCATAGTCAAGCTGAGCAGGTTTCTTCAGAGCCCTCTAGGGTGTGACGCTGCTGAACAAGTTTGGTGACTGTTCTAAGCACATCTGGCTTGTTACTGTTCCCACGCCCCCCACCCCCTACCCCCTGGAGTAGGTAGGATGCAAGGAGGCTGCTGTCCCTTCCAGGCACTGAGGGAACTAGAGGAAACAGGCCGGGCTAGGGAGTCAGCTGAGCCCAGAGCTGGGGGCTGCTTGTCTGCTATCCTGTACCTTTTTTTTAACCAAAATAAAGATTCCCCTCTTCTTGCTGTATCCTCACCGTGTGGTGCCGCCTTTACTTTGGATCTGGGCTGGGGCATGCGGTGGATGTGCAGGAAATGGTAGCGTCACCTGCAGCTTTGTTCTAGCTGCTCTTGGAGAGTGCAAAAAGAGCTACAATGAAGCCAGACGGGACAAGGGAAAGGTGGCCTTTGTTCCTCCAGAAGTCCTGGTCTCAGTGCCAGAGACCCCCAAGCCTAAGCTGACCTCTCAACTCTGAAAGGGCCTGGCCCAGGCAGAGACAGAAGGTTTAACTCTAGTTTGTAACTGTCACACCACTGAACTGAGCCCAGCCCAAGGTAAAAATATCGTGGAACCGTCCCTCTCCCTAGCTGCCTCCTCACATTGAGACACACACCGTGTGCTAAGAGCTAAAATATAATTACAGCTGCCATTTACCAAGGGCTTGCCCAGTGCAGGCCCGTTTCTCACCTTAGCCTGTGAGGAAGATGACGTCAGCCTTTTAACAGATGGGGGAACTGAGGCTCAAGGAATTTGCAGGACTTCCCCAAGGTCACCCAGCTGATAAAATAGCCAGGCCAGAATTGGAACCTGATCTCTGACCAGTCTGCACTACCTGAGAAATGAATAAGGCTGCTCCAGGAGCAGGGCCATCTCAAGAGGGAGGAACCCTAAAATTAGTGGAGCCTGAGCTAGCATGGGAGGGCTGCTGGTGCAGTGCCTAAGCATGTGACTGCTAACCAGAAGGCTGGCGTTTCAAACCCACCAGCCACTCCTCGGAAGGAAGACTGGGCAATCTACTTCTGTAGAGATACCGCCTTGGAAACCCAAGGAGGGGTCACTATGAGTTGGAGTCGACTTGATGACAGTGAGTTTGTTTTTTTTGGTTTTGACCTACCATGGGGGCTGAGGTCATCTGGGCAGGCGTACTGATTGTGCTAATAGGGTAACTGAGGCCCAGAGGCAGGAAGGGACTTGCCCAAGGCCTATAAGAAAGCCGGATGCAATTGGATACCCTGACCTCATTCCATTCTCTTTCCATAAATTCCACAGTTTTCTAGGCTGGATTGGTCTAGGAGATGTAGGATACTCTAAACCACAGTGCCTCAAGGAGAAAAGAATTCATAACAGCTGAGGTCACTTAAAATTTATCCACTATTCCCTCCCAAAGGCAACTACTATGGTAAGCTCTTGGCTGGATAACTCATCTCACAACTAACTAGGGGAAGAAGATGCCATAGCCTCCTTTGGTCAATCCATGACAAAAATGTCCTAGAAAGTTTTTTCTGGGATTTAACCAGAATCCCTCTTGCTGCTAAAATCAGAACTCTGTCCTCTGTTCTCAGTGGAGTTAGATAGCGACTGGTTGCTGCCCTCTCTGAGTCACAACCCTTCAAAGTCTTTTATTACCAGCTAAGAAGGCTTGGTTATGGGCCTGGAGGCCTTGAGCCTGCTAGTGGGATGAACGCTATGCACAGGGGTGGGAAGGTAGCAGGCAGGATGAGGAGAGCCCTTTTGGGCTGCAGTCCCAGCTCTTGTCCTGCTGACTCAGGCAGCTGACTGTGGAGCTCTGTGTCCTGCCAGGGCCTGCTGCCTCCTGCCCACCTGGCCTCCTAGACTTGGGAAATGGAGGCCCGGAGGCAAAGGGAGGTGCCTGAGACAGGAACTGAGTCAGGATCGACAGGCCAGAGCCGGCAGCAGGTATCAGACAGCCTGGCTCCCAGATTCCTCTCTGAGCATGAACAGAGGTGGGGGCAGGAGTGAAGGGGTTTTCTGCTGGAACACCCCCCCAAAAAAAAAAAAACTTAGTGCTGTGCTGAGGACATGGAGCTTGTGGTGTGAACCACCACCAGGTCATCTGGTGTTAGGGAGAGCTCCCTCCCTGGAGACGATAGTCAGGACCAAA